GCTGCATGGTCCTCGAGGCACCTTCACCGTCCTCACTCGTGATGCGGAAAAAACGGACAAATTTTTAGTAACCTTAAGCGACGTCCTTGGAGAGCCCCTGGACAAGGAGCAGTCTCAGGTACCACGAATCAGAAGACAGTTTTCGTCCGGGAGTCTTCCCAGGTTGAGCTTTCCCGATGAAGAGAAAATCAACAAATTAAAATCCGAACTGGCAAAGTCCGGTACAGACACACCAGCTGACGACCAGAATTTGCTGATGTACTCCATCGTCCGAGAGATCCCTGAGTGCGCCTTGTTTAACGCCCAGGAAAACGGAGATCTCACGAAGATGCTCCGAAGTTTGATCGTGACAAATTCGGAGGTTTTTCTTTGCGACGAAGATCACGTTCATTGGCCTCTGCCTTCGTTTGTGCGAGCTCCACCGTCCACACCTCAGTGGGTGGTTACCAAGTCCCAGCGGATCAATAAAATAATTGGTCTAGATGTCTTTGAGCTTGGGAGAAATGCCAGTGAAATGCTTGGTGTATACGGCCTGTCTTTAATTTTCGAGCATGAAGAAGTTGAGGCGACGGCCGCTGGCGAGCAAAATTGCTGGCACTTAGTTTTCAAAGCCTGCGATGAGCGCACGCAACTTCAGCGTTCTCTCTCACAAGTTTGGAAAGGGGATTTCCAAGCAGATCTTAAAATCACTTATTCCAAACCAAAGTCCTTCCCTGGCATTCAGGAAGGGAAGGATCCAAATGGCTTTCTCTCGTCGATTTCTTCAATAAACGGGCAACACACCCCCGTGGGTACCCCGGTGGAAGCTAAAAAGACCCATCGGAGGATGGGCTCTGATAATTTGCCGATTTTGCAGGCAAATGTATTGAATGGCTTGGAGAGCTTAGTAACTTTGGATAGAAAGTTGCTGGACAAGTTTTTCCGCCGATGCATTTCACAAAAAAGCGAGAGTGAAGAAGAAACCCTTTTACACGTCCTATGGACCGGCTGTACGCCTTTCCTTTTTCCTGCGCAGGAATTCAAAGTCTGCGTATTGTTAAGCAACTTGTACGTGTATATTTTAGCGGAGAAAAAGCACAAGGATTTGATTAATATGAAAAAGGAGGGTAAACTCAGGAATTGCGAGGGTTTAGAAGACGTTAAGCCCACGATTTGCTTTAATTGGATCCCCATCAGCAAGTTAAGACAAGTCTGTGTTGGATTGTTTGATCAAACATTGAGACTGGAGACTGAATTGAAAGAAGACACTTTCACTTTTATTACTCGTGATTTTCATCTCACGAGCACATTCCTGGAACGCTTAAACGCCATTTTGTCGTCAAAGCACACAAGCGATCCTTCACCCCCGAGAGCTGAAACCCTTACCACGAGCATTTACGACTCTCAGCCGACGTCCGAAGCCGATCACTGCTCGTTCACGAAGACAGACTACCATCATGTTAAAAATGGGGTCAAGTTTATTTACCCAAACGATGACACTTTGGAGATCCTCAAAGACGCTATTTCGGACTTTAGTCGCACCTCGGTTGACTGTAGCCATCTGAAAGACGTTGTCATCCTTGTCTATCTTTTAGTTTTTCATGAAACGAAATCGAACGTCGAAGAACCACGGACGCTCGTCATCATGGACAAATCTCTTTGCCTTTGCATCGAGGATCACGTAAACTATCCATTGCCGCTCTTCGCAACCGGGCTTCCAGAGAGCCCGCAATATAACGTGCAGGACTTGCGTGACATCAAGTCGCTGTCACGCGTCGAATTCAGCGACTTTAACTCGTGCGACTTTAAAATGGTTTTCTTGCCGACTCAGCATCAAGACGAGGACGCACCTGAGGGATTTGATTCCGCAAGTATGGGAGATTTATGCGTTATTACGCATGCGTTGGGCTTCGCTGACCGTGAAATCTGCTGGCGGATTGTTGCCCAGACGTACGAGGAAAAAGAAAAGGCTTTGAGTCTGATTTGTAAGCTTTGGTCGGACATTCACGGCGGAGCGCTGCCTGTTATGAAAGCTAAGGGATGATTCCTCAGTACTTTTAATTTGGAGAACAATCGTTACTTAGGTAGCTTTTACTTTAGGCAATCTTGATGTGGATTAGGCGATTGAAACTTTGATCGCCCACTTCGGAACAAAGCAACCTTGATTGAAACCTGGATCGTTAACGTTTGGAGGCCCATTTCTCAGAATGCTTTCTGGATCTGGCTTCAGATAAGGCTTTCCAGTTAGTGAATAAATTGTTATCTACGCCTCAGTTGCGCTTAATTCACCCACAGGCAGCAGACTCGCTATCCTGCAACTCGTTTATTTTCTTAGGCAACACGCTTTTAGAAAGAGTTAAAAATATCACACACTGTAAAAACCCTCCTAGAAGAACCGTAGTTATATGTGTGCTCCTGAAGTGGTGCTTATAAAGGCGAACCGCGCCTAACGAACACCTCTATCAAGTGGGCGGCAGTGCCTCATTTATACGGACACTTATCTTTGCGCCAAAGATTCAAACTTCATACAATCAGTGCCTCTAATATAGACCCCTTCAAAATGGACCCGCCCAGTTAGGTGTCTGTATCGAGGTGTACACTGCAACCTGGGTCAAAATTTGTCGCTCAAAATAGTCCCACAAGGCATTTCGACACAACACCAACCCAGTCTTCAGTGTGGGACCTCAATTGGCCGATTGTAACAGCCAAATTGATCATTTTTTATCGTATTCGGCTTTAAACGAAAAAAAAGAGAAAACTTATTCCGGATAATCAAGCCGCACTCTGTTTAGTTTTTTACTGTAAGTATGTGCGATTTGTAGATATCTTTTTAGAAAAGTAGTTTAGGTAAACAAAGTGCTTAGTATTTCTGCAAAATGTTATCGTGTAATGAATAGCACCTTTTAGAAATTTATATACTTGAAATATATTTATAGTTTATGCCATCAATGTTTTTAATATTTTTTTATCCTGTTCGTAAGTAACACTCCGGCTCTTGAAACATCTAAGACCGTCCACCTACTCACTTTCACATAGACCACAATGCACCTTGCTTATCCTCCAAAATTGTGCATAACCATTGTCTTCGATTTGTCGTGGGACGACTGTAATACCCAGGAGAAATTGAAAACAATGGATGTGTAAAATTTTGGGGGGTAGGGGGGGAAACAAGTTACACTACGATCCCTGAAAAAATGGTGAGGTGTCCATTAATTTTCGAGGCGGCGTTTTTTTTAAGCGGTGGGGGTGGTGGGTATGGTGTGTGTGTAGGGGTGGGGGGGGGGGGGTTTTGAGGGGGGGGCTGTTTGAGGGAGTGACATCTGGAACAAGAGGGGCCGGGTTAATTTTTGGTTGGGGTGCATAATAAGGTTTTTCTGGATTTATTTATTAAAGGGGGGTTTAATAGAAGGGAGATCGGGGGGGGGGCGTGTGGGGAGGGAGGGGAGATACGGGATTGTCGTCAAAGCACACAAGCGATCCTTCACCCCCGAGAGCTGAAACCCTTACCACGAGCATTTACGACTCTCAGCCGACGTCCGAAGCCGATCACTGCTCGTTCACGAAGACAGACTACCATCATGTTAATAACGGGGTCAAGTTTATTTACCCAAACGATGACACTTTGGAGATCCTCAAAGACGCTATTTCGGACTTTAGTCGCACTTCGGTTGACTGCAGCCATCTGAAAGACGTTGTCATCCTTGTCTATCTTTTAGTTTTTCATGAAACGAAATTGAACGTCGAAGAACCACGGACGCTCGTCATCATGGACAAATCTCTCTGCCTTTGCATCGAGGATCACGTAAATTATCCATTGCCGCTCTTCGCAACTGGGCTTCCAGAGAGCCCGCAATATAACGTGCAGGACTTGCGTGACATCAAGTCGCTGTCACGCGTCGAATTCAGTGACTTCAACTCGTGCGACTTTAAAATGGTTTTCTTGCCGACTCAACGTCAAGACGAGGACGCACCTGAGGGATTTGATTCCGCAAGTATGGGAGATTTATGCGTTATTACGCATGCGTTGGGCTTCGCTGACCGTGAAATATGCTGGCGGATTGTTGCCCAGACGTACGAGGAAAAAGAAAAGGCTTTGAGTCTGATTTGTAAGCTTTGGGCGGACATTCACGGCGGAGCGCTGCCTGTTATGAAAGCTAAGGGATGATTCCTACTCTTAATTTGGAGAACAATCGTTACTTAGGTCTCTTTTATTTTAGGTAATCTTGATGTGGATTAGGCGATTGAAACTTTGATCGCCCACTTCGGAACAAAGCAACCTTGATTGAAACCTGGATCGTAAACGTTTGGAGGCCCATTTCTCAGAATGCTTTCTGGATCTGGTTTCAGATAAGGCTTTGCAGTTAGTAAGTTAATTGTTATCTATGCCTTAGTTGCGCTTAATTCACCCACAGACAGACTCGCTATCCTGCAACTCGTTTATTCTCTTAGGCCACACGCCTTTAGAAAGGGTTAAAAATATCACACACTGTAAAAACCGTCCTAAAAGAACCGTAGTTATATGTGTGCTCCTGAAGTGGTGTTTATAAAGGCGAACCGCGCCTAACGAGCACCTCTATCAAATGGACGGCAGTGCCTCATTATTACGGACAAAACTTATTCCGCATAATCAAGTTGCAGCCTTTTTTTTTTTACTGTAAGTATGTACGATTTGTAGTTATCTTTTTAGAAAAGTATTTTAGGTAGACAAATTGCGTAGTATTTCTTCAAAATGTTATCGTGTAATGTATAGCACCTTTTAGAAATTTATATACTTGAAATATAATTATAGTTTATGCCGTCAATGTTTTTAACATTTTTTTATCCTGTTCGCAACTAACACTCCGGCTCTTGAAACATCTAAGCCCGTCCACCTATTCACTTTCACATAGACCATAATGCACCTTGTTTATCCCCCCAAATTTTGCATAACCATTGTCTTCGATTAGTCGTGGGAAGACTGTAATACTTAGGAGAAATTGGAAACAATGGATGTGTAAAATTTTTTTTTCGGGGGGGGAGACACAAGGTGCACTACGGTCCATGAAAAAATGGTGAGGTATCCATTAATTTTCGACGAGGCTTTTTTTTTTAAGCGGCGGGGGGGGGGGGTAGGTGGGTGTGTGTGTTGGGGGGGGGGGGGGGGGTTTTCGAGGGGGGGGGAGAATATTTTAAGAAAGGGAATTTTTCAACAAAAAGGGCCCAGTTAATTTTTCGGGTGGGAGCCAAATTCTTTTTTTTTGTATTTTTTTATAAAAAAGGGGTTTACAAAAAGGGGGGGGGGTGAAAGGGAGTTGCGCTTGTGTCGTAGGGTGAGGTGGGGTGGATTCGTGTGGTTGGTGGTCGTTGTTTGTGTAGGGGGTGGGGGGGGGGGGGGTGGGGGTTGGGGGGGGGGTGGGGGGGGGGGCTATTCAGAGCGGGGCAGTTTCAAGAAGTGACATCTGCAACAAGAGAGGCCATGTTCAATTTTCGTTGTGATGCATAATACTGTCTTTCTGGATTAATTTAATAACAAGGGGTTTAACAGAAACGTTAGGGACAAAAGAACTGTTTCTTCAAAGATTCCGCGTGTTAGAGTGCATGATAAGCGTGAAAAATATCACAACAAAGAGACGACACTTTTATAGATGCGTAAGCGTGACTGATTATTCCAGTTTCAATTCCAGATTGAAATTACATTGTAACTTAAATTACTACAATTGACAATTCAGGCTTATTCCATTGTGTAGAATATGTGCTACACAACTCATTAAGCGGCCAGATTCGGAGTGCCAACAGCTCTAGGCGGCTCCCACTTGTGAAGCGTACTTGTCACAATCCAGCTCCTTGTAAGTGATGCAGCGATCCTGGCAATCGCACTCGGTGGTGCAAACAGGAGTAAGGAACTCCATGCCATTGTTTCGCCACACCTTGACCAAAGCATCAGTGAACTTATCCATCATCTCTTCATTGTGTTGGGGTGTTGGTGCAATGCGCAGTCTCTCCTTGCCTCGTTCCACTGTGGGGTAGTTAATGGACTGAACGTACATGCCATATTTGGAAAGCATCTCATTGGAGATGGCCGTGCACTTGGCAGGATCGCCAACCTAAAAAAAGCACCCAAAGATTTTAAGTACATGATGGCGTACCCTGACTCCAGATGTCCGTTCTCGAAATCTCAAACTCCCGAGACGGATTTCTTCTTTTCTATTTCTATAACTGCCTGACTACAGACATAAAGACAACACTTACATGCACAGGTATAATGTGGCTCGGAGCATACACCACAGGCAACCCAGCACTGACGAGCTTATTGCGCAGTGTGTGCACCACACTCTGATGTTGTCTGCGCAGCTCTCGTCCTTCGCCACTGGCAAGGATACCAACGGACGTTATGGCGGAATTCACGGTGACAGGGGGCAAGGAAGTGGTAAAGATAAACCCGGAACCATAGCTACGGATGTTGTCAACCAGCGCCTCAGTTCCGGCGATGTAACCACCGATGGCTCCATAGGCTTTGCCGAGGGTTCCGCTGATAATATCCATCTTGTGCATGATATTGTCACGATCTCCGATACCCGCGCCGCTGTGGCCATACAAACCCACTGCATGGACCTGCAGATGAAACATGGTAGAAAAGTTTGAGCTTAAGTCAACCAGAGAAGGTTTAATATCAGTCTGAAGTATAGACCTGCATGTACTGTATATATCTTGTGCAGGGTTTTGTGGGTTTTCGTGTCTCAGTAAAGCGTAGATACTTTTTCAACAGTTTCACTCTAATAGTTTGGGCAAGCTTTCGCTTCACGCTATTTGCTATCTTTTTACAGGTAAAACTCGTCTTCGCATCAATTGAATTCCAAAAACAATGGTCCAGTTTTGATATTTAAGGCTATATTTATGTTTCATGTCGTCAGTGAAAACGGATGGCAAGGATGGACATAGATTGAAACTTCAAAAAGATGGGCCAACTTTTTCAAGTTTAATGCTACATCTAAGTGCTATGTCAGCACAAATCACCAAAAGAAATGATTGGAGTTAGTGCTCCCCGATGAAATTTGTTTCCTGTCTTCTTCATAACTCCACAGGAATGACGTCAGCACAGAATTGCCCTAAATCAGCATTACCCTCATTACATATCCTCTTTAATTAATCTAAGAAATACTCGCTTGCTGTTCTTCGTCTTGCAAGCTTTTACATGAACAAAGCATTTGTTTCAACCGGGTTCGTCAGTATTTTTCTCAAAATGGAGGAACTAACCTCGTCAACAAATGTCAACGCCCCATACTTGTGCGCTACATCACACAGCTCTTCCAATGGACACACATCACCCGTCATGGAATGAACAGTCTCGAAAGCAACAATCTTAGGCGCGTCAGGGTCTGCTTGTTCAAGCAGCTGTTCAAGGTGTTCTACATCATTGTGCCTAAAGATGAACTTCTTAGCGCCACTGTTCCTAATTCCCTGGATCATGGATGCGTGGTTACCAGCATCGGAGAATATCAAACAGCCTGAGAAAATATATAAACAAAGAAGTGAATAAATAAAGAACACAATGAACCAAATAAATAAAATAAATAAGATAGGTTGCGGTGGTTTGTATAGATAATAAGATGTTTTATTATTATTATTTTTTTGAGCGAAATTTGGGGAAAAAAGGCGCGAAAGGATGTTTTTAAAGCTGAAAAATTGTGTCATCAGACTCATAAGTAAGAACCACCTTGTACAGCATAATAATCAGTACCTAGATGTATGCTGTACAAGCTGGTTCTAACTTTTGAGTCTGTGGATGAAATAATCAAGTGTGACCATTCAATTGAAAGCTACTGAGCAGTACTTTCCTGTGGTACTGTTTATTATGCTGTACAAGCTGGTTCTAACTTTTGAGTCTGTGGATGAAATGCTTAAGTGTGGCCATTCAAATGAAAGCTAATGCCGTACAAGGTGGTCCTAAATTTTGGGTCTGTGGATGAAATCCTGAAGTGTGACCATTCAAATGAAAGCTACTGAGCAGTACTTTCCCGCAGTACTGTTCATTATGCTGTACAAGGTGGTTCTAACTTTTAGGTCTGTTCATAAATCCTAAGTGTGACCAAATAATGGTCTGACACCATTCAACAAAACTCCTATGTACTACTACTACTATGCTGACATAACTTTTAATAGCAGGATAAAATTAGGCACTCTAAAATCCTGTTGTTTTGTACTCAATTCCAGGGACTACAGCTCTAGTCGCATTATTCCTACTAGGTGCGTTTTTGCATACCAGGTAACTGCCGTGCCAGTGTAAATAGAGTAGTGTCATTGGCAACATAACAAGATGTAAACAGCAGGGCTGCTTCCTTCTTGTGTATCTCAGCAAGCCTGGCCTCGAGGGATTCATGAAAGCTGCTTGTTCCAGAGATGTTCCTGGTGCCACCAGCACCCACTCCATGCTTCTCAATAGTTTCTCTGCAGGAGGATCAAAGTTATGTTTTTTTTTAATTACACTGGAACCAAAATACAGGAAAATACTTGGTACCAAATACAAATACTGCTGTAGATACTACCATTCCTAAACTAGTGGCAGTTGGTAAATTATTGTTATAGCTTAACTATGAAATTCTACACTTTGAGCGAAACTGGTGACGCAGCAAATTATTTCTTCATTTCACAGAGTGATCCTTCCATTTTTTAAAGATTGTTTTTGTTATTCAAAGGTACCAACCACTGCATCAAAAGTCGCCCATTTCTTCAAGAGCTAAAAAGCCTCTGGTTTTCACAAAAATATCAATAGGTGACATAGAGCGAAATATTGCTATACTGTAACTGCTCAAACAATATCAATACACGTGTCGCAGAAGTTATAAGAGAAAGGAATCAATCTCTCAAAAATAAGACTACACTGTAGAACAACAGAGAGCATAGAAGTTGATACTAGAGCTTAAAATGCTTCATCTACACTGACAGGAGCTGTTTCAAGTACTACTATTAGTAGATATAGACAAGGCCACTCATTTTTATACAAATGGTGGCCCACAAGGTAACAAAAAAATTCCAGAGCAGCACCCTCCCTCGCTCCCTTTCGGGGTCTGTCCTGCCACCAACTGTTAAGACTAAGTACATAACATGCCAATCTTACCTAGCAGTTTTCAAGACCTCTGGGTGTCGGCTCATTCCAAGATAGTCATTGCTGCACCATACTGTGATGTTCTTCCCTTGAGTGTTGTAACTGAAATCTTTGGCATGAGGAAATGTTTCTGCCAGACGATTCACCTTCTTAAAGATGCGATACGTGTCATCCTTCTTCTTTTTCTCAATTTCCCCCATGAAGAACTGATCGTAATCAAAATGAGAATTGAAGGCTTCAAGGCTTGGAGCTAAACCTGTAAGACAAAAAAAATTGCTATGTCAGTACTGAGTATACATTAAGTTTTTAAAGGTAAACTTAGCACATCAATAAAGACAAAACAGCAATTTAGAATCTGTTTAGAAGTCTTAGAACCCTATAAATAAATCTCATAGTGGCTAGAAATGGTATTCAGAGGTCACTTAGGCATCTAGCGATCCTGAATTATAAACTTCCATTTTAATACCTTACCTTGGGCACTTAAAGGCATAGTCACCATCTGACGCACACCAATGGTCTGAGGAAGCACACTTCCTACTTTCATAGCAGGGGTGGGGTGAATTTTTTGCAAAGCATCAACCACCAACTTGCCACTTGAAAATGGGCACTTGCCATCTGTTGGAAACACAAATCAAGTATGTGTTAACCTTCTTCAAGGCCAGTTTGGGGGTTATTGTTTTAGCTCTATTTTGTTATTTAAAAACTGTATTTTAACTTAACCATGACTTAAAAACTCCAGCTGCAGTACAAATCATAGAATATTCAACATAAGTAGTCTCTAGAATTATGTGATAACTCTTAATAGCTCTTGGATCTGCCATCAAGGATTTTAGTCATGCCTCTATGTACAGCCATGACTGTGATGGAAACAAGAAATGCTCAGAAGCAAAGTTAATCAGTCAAAACAAAATTTAGTCTCCATGGAAAGATTTCAAGTCATGAATCAAACCAAAAATACTAATATTAATTTTTCCAATTATGTCCTCACTAGTAGCTTACATAGTAACATAACCATAAGCTGAAACATGAAATTAAATCCTTCTAAAACTGAATTAGAATCATATCAGTAACCATACAATAAATGATTTTATTATATAAACCACAATGAAATACCAGGTGAGCTTTTGCACAACAACTTGATATCTTCACATGTGAAAATAACATGTTATCTTCACATGTGAAAATATCACCGTTGCTATGGCTACGTAATAAATCGCCCCTTTCATACCAAAAAACTATTCAAGTGAAATGGTTTGGTATTTCATTGGTGTTTATATAATAAATAGAACATTACACGGCCACTTGGATATACGAAATTTCTCTTCAAGTGTTGAAAAAATATCTCACTCGTTCTCTGCGCTCACTTGTGAAATATTTTTCAACACTCGAAGAGAAATTTCATATCTCGGCGCGGCCATGTAATATCCTCTATCTCCTTATGCTCATGTTCAAACCCTAGTACACAGGTCGGCGGGGACCCAGAACAAAGATTTCAGCATTAATTATAATTAACTCACAAACAGACCTAACCATGGGTTTAGTTTCGTCGGTGGCAACGGCTATGAAAAAGATAAAGACGTTGATATTTTACAAACCTGCTGGCACAGAAGACTCCTTCTTAGGTGCACCTTCCCTGTAATCACATGCACAGCCAGCAAACTGATCAACTTTCACCTGAGCATCTTCAGTGGCTGAATTGAACATAAATGGACACTTTCCAGCTGTTAAGACAAAAGACGAACCACAGTTTAATTAGCCCTCCGAAATAGCTAATGGCTAAAGGTGGGGGAGGGGAAAAAGGGGAGGCAAAATTTATGAAACTTAAAAGAATATGGAAAGAACACAATAATGAGACTCAGTGACAAATGAAATTGATTCACAGAGAATCAGAAATGATCTGATCAATGTTCCTCGACCCACAATACCTAGACAACATTAGGTAACACAATAATTAAATGAGTTGGAATGATCTATCTCAGCCCAACAGTCACTGTAACCACAGGTTTAAATCAACAATATTGTTTATTGAGCAAGACTATTTCTGTAAAAGAAATACCCCACGTAAAAAATGGCCCAGTTTTTGTGTTTAGCATATGTTTTGTATAGACAGTGGTTTCTGAATCAGGGCCAACACATCAAGGAATCTAAACTGGCCCTTACGTTGGACTTGAGCATGTGCAACAATCCAACTCAGTGACCAATAGGAACATGCCTTTAACTTAATTATTTGGCCACAATTTATAAACAAAACCAACAGAGTGACATAGCAAAATCAGGAAGCTCCCAACATTAGAGGTGGGGGGGAGGGTAGAGGGAACTTATATCCCTATCCTGTCAGTATTTCCATCATAATGTCATTTATCGTCTTTTCATCTCGCCTTATATTGCTTTTTCATGGCCATGACACTTATCAGACTTTAAGCCTAATTAACAGGACCTCATTAAATGTAGGGCCATTGTTTTTGTTTTGTCGGCATTCATAACCAGTATCCTCAACCAACCAAGGTGACACTGATCTCAATGAATCTCAGTCATCAGTTTGTAACAGTGTATTAATTTCAACACTTCAGTGAAACAACAAAAAAAGAGATAAAGCTTTTTGGTCTCAAAGGCAATATCATAATTATCCGCTGAAGGAGATTTAAGCCAAAGGTTAACAAGTTGTTAGCAATGACTTAACAGAAAAAGACACTGTCACAAATAAATTGAATCTTAATGGCGTTGACGACAATAATATTGAAGTGAACAAAGGAAGAACTAAAACTTCTGCATAACAAAGAAATACGTCAATTGAGGTGAGTAAGAAATTCCGGTTTGGGGTGACAGTCTCACGAATGTTCAGAAAACGCTAAGGAAAAGAAATTTGAAAAAAAGCTCTGTTGATTTTTTCGAGGCTGTAGTTCGAGAGGGTACAATAATGAGGCGATCTAAAATTTTAAATTTTAAATCACACTCTGTTAATGTTTGACTGAAATGCTGAAGCAGGCATGTTCGCGAGCGGACTAACGCGGACACTCATGAGCGAGCCGAGAGATGTGTACTATTCAGGACAGTTGCTTGATTTGCCACTTTACAGGAATCAGTTTTCGCAGAGTTCAACCGCTTTTGGAACTTTTCGTTCTACTAAAGCAAAGGATTAAACTTAAGCTTAATTACGTAAAATGTAGTTAGGCTCTTTTGTTGAACTTATGTAAGCACAGGCTTTGCAACAATATAACTTTATGTTTACATGATCTTAATTTTCAATATTGTCAAACGTAATAGTAAGTCTATTTAGCATACATACCTTTGGCAGAAGTTGTTGCTCCATAGGTCTTCGCTCCTGTGTAAAAAAGGAGACAAAATCAGATGGTATTACTAGTAGGTTGGTGATCGGGACGATGTCAATTTCAAAGCTATTGGTCTAGATCCTTTACATCACGTTCATAACAACTTAACAAAGAACACTTCGATCAAGAAGGAAAGAACGCATTTATAAAAAGAATGATAGAGCTTACCTTCGTTTTTCATCGGGGTTTCGCTCTCCTTATGTAAGACTTCGGACATAACTGGGCATCGCTCGGCGTAAGAGACCAATACTGGTCCCCTCGCTTTGCGAACGAACGACGCAGGAACGCGGGCCAAAAACGGACATTTCTTCGCTAGTTCCATTCTAAAAACACCCTTCAAAACTTGTGAAATTCAATTGAAAGAGTTTAAGCGATTTCAGTGGCTAAAATAGTCTATTTCACGCCTGTTAGAGCCCTTTAAGATAACCAACCGACGGAATGACACTGCACTCACAAATCTGAATGAAATTTGCGAAAGCCGGCTGTTTTTAAATGACCTTGCGTACCATATAAGGCCACTACAACCAAATATGGACTTGGAATGTCACGCATGATTTGCTGAACGTCATTGGCGTGAGTCATCATTTGATCATGCAGCTGTGATCAAATTTCTTAAGTTTTCTTTTTCTAAATTTCCTTGTATTTTTTGTTCCCTCACAGCTGAATCGCGGATTTTTTCATATTTTGCATAGCACATACAAAGACATTTTACGATTCGACTGCTACGAAGTGTTTGTTTGTTTCCTGTGGTCTGTGTACTATTTTTGGGTCACTTTTTTTCCGCGTTGCAAAGTGTATCTCTCTATTTTCATCTACTTAATAACCCATGGGGACCCATGGGTGGAAAACTAGAATAATTCATGAATTGGAAAGACTCCGAAATCAATCACCGTGAAGTTTGTTTTGGAAACCCGAACTTTGGCTTTGAATTTCTTCTACGATTAATTTTTAACATTTTTGAAAAGCTAGATCAAAACATTACAAGATCACGGATGATTAAATACCCGAAGCACCAACTGGAAGGGCTGGGCGAAATTTCGAATTTCCTCCATAAATTTATTGATACGCCTTGCGATAAAACGCGTGCTTTGTTTTTAACTGACGGACCTGTCTTAGCGTATGGAAAATTACATGAAAATTAATAAGACATTTGTAAAGTTTATATCATACAGCCTTTGAAATGACCTCCACAGTTTTTGGTCTTCTTGAAGAAATTTATCACACCCCTCACAATAATTATAAGGTTTTTAACAGATATTGCTTCACCGGTTGTCTTTTTTACTACAGTGATTACGTTCTCAGCATATATAAACAGTCAGTACTTGAAACATATGCAAAGAAACGTGAAAAAGGCTGCGGTAAGCTGTGATAGGTTTTGCTGCTCAAAAACTCAGTAACAACGAAGTGAAACTGCCTTCTTTTGACTCTAACAGATGGTTCACCAAGTAGCTAGATGCATTAAAATCAGGAGCTCCTGTTGAAATCGAATAGAATATGCGACAAGAATAACAGGAGAGATCTATTTACACCAACCGTCTTCGACTGACAACTGAAAGCAACCTGAATAAATTTAGTTCGGAAAGTAAAATAAAGCTGAATACAGCCACCCTACAATTGACAGGGAAATGATTTGAAATTAAATGCATATCGGTCTTTATGTGATTTCAGCCTTCAAACGTGAGAGACAACCTTCTTAATTACAACAGTTGATACGAACTCGAATTTCTGACTTAAAACAAATACAATTTTCTTTCTATATGAATTTGACTTAAGTTTGTTTAGTTAACAATATAATCATGTGATTAGTATTTTTAAAAGCATATTTATTAATTTTCACGAGGACACACAGAATGCTGTGCAGTGATATTGAATTTGTGGAACGTCATGCAAGGAGATCACGTGATTTGCGACAAAATTCTGCATACGAGTTTGGTTTTGCCCAGGTTCGCGGGCAAAACAAAATTCATATCGCTGAAATCCAATTATTTTTCCCAAATTTCTCAGTCAACACGACTTAAGTTGAAAATTTTTTTATTATTACTATGGATACCGGTGTTGAAATTTCGTTTTTCTCTGTATATTGTAAATTTAAAGGAAGTAGGTCACAACGAAATTTTGTAAAGCCAGGAAAAAAGACTTTCTTTTTTNAAGTAGCTAGATGCATTAAAATCAGGAGCTCCTGTTGAAATCGAATAGAATATGCGACAAGAATAACAGGAGAGATCTATTTACACCAACCGTCTTCGACTGACAACTGAAAGCAACCTGAATAAATTTAGTTCGGAAAGTAAAATAAAGCTGAATACAGCCACCCTACAATTGACAGGGAAATGATTTGAAATTAAATGCATATCGGTCTTTATGTGATTTCAGCCTTCAAACGTGAGAGACAACCTTCTTAATTACAACAGTTGATACGAACTCGAATTTCTGACTTAAAACAAATACAATTTTCTTTCTATATGAATTTGACTTAAGTTTGTTTAGTTAACAATATAATCATGTGATTAGTATTTTTAAAAGCATATTTATTAATTTTCACGAGGACACACAGAATGCTGTGCAGTGATATTGAATTTGTGGAACGTCATGCAAGGAGATCACGTGATTTGCGACAAAATTCTGCATACGAGTTTGGTTTTGCCCAGGTTCGCGGGCAAAACAAAATTCATATCGCTGAAATCCAATTATTTTTCCCAAATTTCTCAGTCAACACGACTTAAGTTGAAAATTTTTTTATTATTACTATGGATACCGGTGTTGAAATTTCGTTTTTCTCTGTATATTGTAAATTTAAAGGAAGTAGGTCACAACGAAATTTTGTAAAGCCAGGAAAAAAGACTTTCTTTTTTATGCAGCTTGCTCGTTGCGTTAATATATGATAAAACTTCAAAAATGAAAGATGCACGGTCCGAACTCGAAAGATATATCTTTTAGTAAAGGAATGTGCAGTGCATGATAACAGCGGCCACATGTAAAACGCCGGTGTCAACAATATCGCTTCTGTTGTATGTCATGGATTTGATATTATATCTCACTCCACCCATTCGAGGGTACCGTATTTGAATTATTACGAAAGTTTACTAAGAAAGGAAAGACTAAATTTTTGATATGTAGTTTTAATTTACATTGAGTGGGTTTTCTGCTCGGGTGCTGTGTTCACTTCTTTGAATTCCAAAGCATTCAGTCGACAACCTTGATACCACGGTCGCCTAGCATGGCTGGCATGCACGGTACAAGATCAGTTCGAGGTTAAAATGATGCCTGAAGCATAGATCTGTTTCACAGCGACCGGCCAAATTCAGGGCCAATGGTTCACGGCGAAACGAAGCAAGCCGGTTTCTTCTGATATTAAGTCCGCGGGGTCGTATTTCTGACGTTTCAGCTGACGTTTCTTTCATGCCCATCCACTCTGTTCTCTTTTTCGTTTTACTGCTTTATAGTTTATTTTAAATATAAGTTGCTTTCATTACTTTATTTTAAATCAGTATTAACCATATGTGAGGTATATCAATAACTATACATAGAAATAATTTCCTGCAGGACTCAATATATCCCGAAATTACGTATCATGATGCCATGATGTTGCGTATCCGTCTACTTCCTGGTGGTTTTATCAGGATTCCGTTGTTCGAAAAAAGAACGAAGGCTTTAACTCTGACGTTCTTTTTCGTTACCATTTATAGGAGTTTTGACGCAGTCTGCTATGAAATTAAAGGAATGATTTTCGAACCCACTTCCTGTCTGCTTTATTGAACGATCATGTCTCGAGCTGGAATGGGGTTTCTAACTTTTGAGTCTGTGGACAAAATCCTGAAGTGACGGTGACTATAAAATGAAACCACTTTGGAATTACGCTCACATGGTCCTACTTCTTTTTATGCATTTTACAAGACGAAATTTAGAAATTTTGTTAAACTTGACTCTGGTCAACTTTGGCAGATAAAGATTTAAACTCAATTCCTGCCAGCCCCCTAACTTAAAACTATGACAACCCCTGCGTTCCAACCCCTTTGATGTAGCAAAATTTAACTTTCTAGGCCGAGCGATGCCATTTTATTGTAGACTCAGTAAACTCCGACCGCAGGCGGCTCGACTTGTAAGCATATCCCTCGAACATTTTATATCTTTACCGGTTCATAAGATGAGCATTTACGCAGGCCTATCGACATTCCGCCTTCAGTATATATAAAATATAACAGAAGAGGTTCCGATCAGTCCAACATGCAAAGAAATTTCTCACCCGCGCAGTTTTCTTGGTCTGACGGAGGAAACGAATAAGCATAGTAATAACTTTAAAATCTGAGGCTTAATGAATAAAGAGACCGAATCAGACTAGAAACCATGGCCAGTCATGGTTTTCAAGTCACTAGACTTGACCGACAATCCTATATCAGCCTTTCACAGTCTGTCTCAGGGATTTCTAGACTGGATTTGCGTTTCCTCTAGATGAAAAGTTAACTAAGTAATTAGGGATTCAGGGTAAGGAGGCAAGGAACATGTATGTCTCTATTAGACACAGCTTTGAATAAAACAGCAACTCGTGTCAGTAATTTGAAAAGTTCAGCCGTCGTGATCCGTGGCTGTGTTACTTCGCGAATTCTTCACAGTGTACCGAGACCCCATGTACAAACCAATGTGGGAACAACTTAAGCAATATTTCCTTCGTCACAAGAAGCCAGCTTAAAGAAATTGGTGTAGATATTTGATTGTTTGTTTGGTTTTTGTTTATATTGACGTAAAGACGGTTTAAAAATTTATATTCAATGGAATAAATTGTAAATGGGCTAATAAACCACAACAAGATATCACGCACTTCGAATGATCAGAAAAGCATCAAAATATCCGATTGATGTATCAAACTACCAAACAAGAAGCCTTTGATACTTTTTCCTTTCCTTTTCATTTTCTTTGTATTTCATGCTTTTATGAGGCTTAGTCGATACCTCAGAGCTCCTCAGCTTGAGTGGACTTAATTTGTAAGTCAATACTGGGCTAATAAAGTCTCGGTGATAACCGACATGGTAGACTTGTTCACGAAAGATAGTTTTAAAACTTTTGACGTCTTTCCATAACAAGCAAAGTCTAAAGATCTTGCTTTTTATGTAAACTTTATCAAAAAAGTCTTGGAAATAAAGCCAGCGTTGCATGGTCTTGACTCAGTAAAAGTGTGCAGACTTCTATTTGAGGGTTCTTTAAAATAAACAAACATCAAGAGCTTTAATGAGCTTTGTAAATATTGGCACAGCCGGCAAACGAACTCATCTATCAAACTAGAGTCTATACCTACACAAATTAGATATTACAGATAAAACTTAATCCCTTCATTCTGCAAACTCCGAAAGGTCTCCTTTTGTTGAGAACTTATTAGAAATGTTCTAGTCAAAT